AAATTTTACATCAATCGTCAAACATCAATTAGTACTTTAAATGATTTGATCGATTATGCTTTTCATATTAAAAATTATACAATCGATACGGAAGATCAATTAAATAAACCACCAAAATCATCTGATCCTGCACTCATTCAGGTTCAATTTATTCATGAAAATGATCCATCAATTATTTTATTAATCGAAGTATTTTATTTACTCCCAGAAAATTCATTTACATTTAACAAAATCAAACAATTATGCAAAATTATATTTTCACCAAATCATATTATTAATTCCTGGGGTGATCCAAAAAAAGAATTAAAAAAATTTTTACGATTTAAATTATTTGATGCTGATGATATTGATTTTATAATACCAAAAAATACCCAGAATATATTCAAAGGTTGGTTCAATCGTACGTATCCACAATCAATTCATATTAAATATGGTGCTGGTGATCAATACTCATTACAATCAGCAATGTACATAACATTCAATGAATGGCTTGACAAGAGAATGACTCTTGCAAATTGGGGTTGTGGTATTGATTTATTATTAGCAACTTATATAACAATGAATGATTATGATGATATTAAAGATAGAAAAATTTATGATGAAAAACAAATACGTCAATTAATGGAAACTTATGCAATCAACGACTGTTTTTCAGTTACAAAGCTAAGTCAAATAATGAAACATTTTGAACCATCTAAACCACCATTAGAAGAAAATAATATTTATATTTTAGATTGTGAACCAACAGAAGAAGAAACACAATCAAATGAATTATTAAATGATAATGATACAGTTGAATCAGTTCATGTCTTAGATGAACGGATAACTGTCAATGATATAATGGAATTAGATGAACCGGATTCGAATGTCGTATTCTTGGTTCATGGACAAACAAATATATTAGATGGTCTTGAAGCTATTTCAGAAGGCGAAGAACAGCAACAACCAATACAAAATTCAATATTAATAAATAAAGAAATAAAAACAACATCGAAACATCATTCAACATCAAAAGAACAATTAACTAAAACACAACGCAACAACATAAGAAAACGAGCAGCTCGATACAATTTTAAAGTAACTCGTAAAATTTATTACAAATTTACCACTTTAGATATAAAAGGAATATTAATTGACATGAATATACATTGGTTAAATGTTAATGTGATCAATTCAACATTATATATAGGTGTGAAGAATGAAGCAACACGAAAACACGTGGAAAATCTATTACACGACGAAATGTTCACAGAAGCACATTATAAAAGATTCAATAAAAAACGTTCCCGTCGGAGGAAAAATTAAATATATAATTTTGTCGTTTTTCTTTTCTTTCTTTTTTCTTTCCTGCTCATTGTTACACGTGCTATTGTTATTAATATCATTTCAGTTATTATGATTATTATGATATTTTTTTATTATTATCATTATTACTATTTTCTAGTCATTTTGTTGTTATAGTCAACTGTTTTTCTTTATTTGAACTCTTTCCTATTTCTATTATTAGTTTGTTTTTCTGTTTTCAAAAAAAAAAAAAAAAATGTTCTCTATTATTATACGATCTCGTTCTTTCTTTTTGTTATATTGTTACATGTTATTGTTCATCGTGTGGGGACACACGTTTTAATTTTTGGGGGGTCGACTGTTACGGGCTACCTCACAATATCATATTTTGTTATTCTCTATTGTTATTTTCTTTTTCTTTTTCTCTCTTCTTTTCCACTATTCATATATATATATTGTTTCCCTGGATAGTCATGGTGATATATGTATATATAAGGGCATGATATAGGTTATATGAATGCACTTATTTTCTTTTTTGAAATAA